GTAGTTTAGGTTGGCCCTGAACTCACATGTAGCTCAGGCTGGCTTCAAACTCACTGCAGTCCTCCTGCCTCAGTCTCCTGAGTGCTGGGATTACAGGCATGCGCCACCATACCCAGTTCGAAAGTCTTTATTTTAACAGGGTTGGTGCTGCAGCACAGGGGGTCAGTGGAGTCCTCCTGGACTAAAACCCAGAACGTTTATTTTGGCTTAAAGTTTTGGAGTTTCCAGACCGTGGTCAACTGGCTCTGTTGGATTTAGGCTTCTGGTGGTGGCAGGCAGCAAGTGGAAGTGCATAGGATGATTAGGGCTTTATGTGAACAGCCTGGTTGACGTACAGGTACAGACCATGTGACTTATAGTGCCCAGTTGGGTGAACCTGACCCAGAAGACACCACCACAGTGAAAATGGGAGTGCAGGAACCACTCTCTTGCATCCCTCCTACCACTTGCTAGCCACGCTTATGCCCGTCAGGTATCTTGTGGCCTGCCTTCACTGCATGTCTGCCTGCTTGTGCTGGTTCCTTAGGATTACTCTTGTACTCAGCTCCTATCCTCACTTCTTCCTGTTGCCCAGTGGGCCCTGTGCCACCCTCCCCTCCTAGGGCATGTGCGGGCCATTCCTAGCATATGGCTGTCACAGAGTGCTGTGAACATCTGTCTCTGTACCTTCTGCATGCACACCTGGATCAGGAGGGCTGATACACCAATGTGTTTGCTAACTGTGGGGACAACTGCTGCTTCCATAGGGTGGTGGGGTTCTTGCCTGGTCTCCCAGAACTCCATAGGGTAGTCTTCTCCATTTTTGCCCTCTCAGTAAGTGGTAGTATGCATCTTTACTTCTTGTCATTTCATTGGATTTTCATTTTTTTGATGACTAATGATATTAGTCATCTTACAGAGCTTCTTTGCTGTGTATGTGTTTTCTTGAGTTAAGGGTCTGTTCAAATCTAGCTTTTTTTTAATTGGATGGTTAATTTTCTTGTTCTTGAGTTTGAGAGTTTATATTCTGGGAACAAATACATCATTGGATATATGCTTTATAAATCTGTATCTGGAACTGTAAAAGTTTAGAAATTTTGCTAAAGTCTGGTTTATCTTTTTTTTTTTTTTTTTTTTTTTTTTTGCAGTGGTTTTATGGTTTTAGTCCATGAGGTATTTGAATTAGTCTTTGTGTGTGTGATGTGAGGGTGTAGATTAAAGTCCTCTCTGGTATGCATGAGTGTCTACCAGCACTGCTATGGGAAAGCTTTCCCCCAGGTGTGGCTCTGCATTTGGTCATAGTTCATGCCCCATGGGTACAGGTTGCTCTGTTGCATGGGGTTTGTGCCCTATGTGTCCCTGCAGTAGTCTTGGTGATAGGTACTACAGAGGAGCCTACCCCCGCCACCCCCAGGTGTCATACTGCTCTCCTTTGGGTTTCCACATGCACTTGTCCTGTACAGCCTAACCCAGGAGGTCAGCTATGCCTCAGCTTGGAGCCCTTGGTGCGGCTCTTGCCTGTCAGACCCAGTGACTTCCTGCCAGGCTCCCTTTACTTTCTTGAGTTCTGGCCACTGGTGGTGGACTCGTCAGCCTTGTCATGCCTGGACTGGCTTTACCTTGCCTTCTTTGTGGAAGATGCTTTTCCTGGGTATAGAGCTGTGCTGGGCCAGACGGCTTCTCTCTATTGCATGCTTTGCTTACTGAGTCCACACAGCTGGGGTAGAGAATACTGCTTGGTCCTTGTACTCACTTGTTAATATATTGTACATTCTTTTCCTTCTGGCTGTTTGCAAGAAGTGATGATGTGCCTCAGGGGTTTGTGTGTGTGCGCGTGTGCATGTGTGTGTGTGTGTGTGTGTGTGTGTGTGTGTGTGTTCCCACTGAGTTTCTTGATCTGTGGATTTAGGGTTTATGTTGAATTTGGGAGTTTTTCAGTTGTCATTTCTTTAGATGTGTCTTCTGCTTCTACCCCTTTCTAGGAATCCTGCTTCCATGTGTCAGACTGTGTACCGTTTTGCAGGTCACAGGCACTCTTACTAGTTTTTAGAATTTTTCCATTCTGTTTCAGTTAAGCTGTTTTTATTGACATGTCTTCTAATTTACTAATTTTTTGCGATACCAGTTATGCTGATTTCATTCAGGGTTTTCATTTCAGACATTGTGGTTTCCAGCCCAGAAGGTTCTGTGAGGTCTTTTTGAACATTTTTTTTAACCCATGGCTATATAACTTCTGAGCATATGGGATCCATGAGACCATTGGCTATGGCTGTGCTCACCAGCTCCAGTGCCACATCCAGCGCCAGCTCTGATTGGGCTATGGTTCCTGTTACTTGTAGTGCTTAGCTCAGCCTAGGACAGCTGCTGACTTGAAGTCCATCTGGTTATGCTGGGTTTGCTTTCCAGCTAGTTAGATGGGTCTGGAGCAGTTTTCAGTGCAGGGGTGATTACCATCTCCACTAAGGCAGACTCCTCTTCCAGCCCATGGGTATAAACTGTCCCTGCTTCTCTCTTGGCCAGCCAGATAGACCCTTGCTTGGTGGTGCTTTCCCACAGTAGTGGGAAACTGATGTCCTGTGGAAAGGCAAGGGTTCCCACGCCAGTGCCCACTGGTATCACATGAAAAGAAACAAGTCACCACACTGCTGCCCACTAATATCCCATAAAAAAACACAGATTCCTATGCCAGTTCCCACTGATATCCCATGGAAGGCAAGGGTTCCACGGTAGTGCCCACTGGTATCCTGTGGAAAGGCATAGGTAGGCCCCCATGCCAGTGCTTGCTAGTGTACCGTGGAAAGGCAGAAGTTCCATGCCAGTGCCTTCTGGTGTCCTGTGGAAAGGCACAGGTTTCATTCTGGTGCCTGCTGGTGTCCTGTGGAAAGGCACAGGTTTCATTCTGGTGCCTGCTGGTGTCCTGTGGAAAGGCCTAGGTCTTTAGAGTCCCTTTGGGAGTTCTACCTCTGGCTGAACATTAAGGTTCTGTGCTGTTGAGAGCTGGATGCTCAGGCTCCTGTGCCTGTTTCCTCCATGCCTGATGCATGTGGTTTGATAGTTGTGGCTTTCCACACTTCCATCCTCTTCTCTCCAGCAGGCTACATGTCCAGTCGAGTCCAGGCCTGTGTTGTTTTAGAAATGAGAGTGCTCAGGAAGCACAGGCCAGCACCATAGTCCTTCAGGAGCAGGTGATGGAGCAGTCCCGAGAGAGGAGGGTCTTGGGTGAGGAAATTCTCTAAGGTATTATTCAAGTTGTAAAATAATAGATTATTCTGATAAAGAAAAAAGGTGCCCCCGAGGAAACAAGATTTTGTTTGGTGCTGTCAGATGTGTAGGTGTTGACACCCAGAGATCAAATGTGGAAAGCCACTAAGAATAATCACCAGAAAAGAGAGCCCTGGGTACTCTAAGGTTTTTTGGAAATAGACAAAGGAGTTTGCTTTTAGCTTTTCTTTAGAAATAGAGGCAGCAATAAAGCTGCCGGTTAATGCAGGCTGCTGGCTGTTTATAGCTCAAGACATCAGACAAGACCATGCTTTCTCTGTAGTGCTTTTATCTTTCTGTCTTTTATGTTCACTGAGCTGAGAAACCCTGTGTGTAGCCTGCCATGTGGACTTCTGAGAGATTGCCGGGTTGTGCTAGTGTACCCATGTGTCACAGATTATCTAGGAACATCCCTGAGGGCCTGCAGAGTCAGGTCTGGGATGGGGCCAGCGCTACTCCTCCTGGTGAGTGGTAGAATGAAGGCAGGCCTGAGTGGAGGGGAGATGAGTAGAGGTCCCCTCAACTTTGCCCTGGGGTCACTGATGCTTCCTGAGGGGAGGCTGCTCACCAGGTTCTGCTAGCAAAGCGGAAATCTTTCATGTCCATTCATGTTTGCCCCTCAGACCAGCAGCCCCACCTCTGAGGGCTTCACCTTGAAAAATAATTCAGAAAAAGAAGAGGGCTGGCATTAATTAGCATTATATTTCAGGGGAGAAAACAGGTGAATGAAGTGTGAGGAAAAGGAAGGTTAGTAGGTTGGAGGTGTGGGCTAAGGGAACTTTCCTTCAGTGCAGGTGACCCTGGGCTATGATGGGGCTGGGCTGCTGCACCCAGAGGAGTGGTGGGGTCACTGTGCTCCCCGGGAGAGCCAACAGTTCTGCTGAGTTTGCTCTTTATCCTTCTCTTCTGTAAGCTGCTCATGATTTCATATGCTTTGCACATTTTTTCCAGGACTGTAGCATTCTAATAAACTTACTATGTAATTATAACACATTTTACATGTGATACAAACATTCTTCCAATTTTTCTGCTTTATTTTAAACTTATTGCGTAGACGCTTTCAAGACAATTGTTACTGTGATCAAACCTTGATTTCTGATCTTATAGAAGCATTGCCCAAGTCTGTGACTATATAGCTTCACTTTGGAATGAATACCACTTTTTAAAACTAGATAGAAGAAAAGTGACCCTTCCTACACATTTTTTTATTATGTTTAGAACCATTCTGGCTGTGTGTGTGTGTGTGTGTGTGTGTGTGTGTGTGTATGTGTATGTATATTTATCCTGTTTTTAAAGTCTTCTATATTGTGTCACTATGTTACTTTCAAATGAAAAACTAGAATAAAAAAGAATGCCTTAGAGCAGTGATGACAAACACAGTGGGCATACAGAGCCCACTGTCAGCACATGAGCCAAGTTAGACCAGCAGCTGAGCATTGGATAACAGTTGTTTTTTTAAAAAACTAAAACCTCAATGTTTAGGTTTAATTGCAGTGTTGGTACTTTGCAATAAGTGAGTTTAGGGTTGCCATTTGGCACTCAATCTCTGACATTTTTACCATCACTGCCTTAGAGTTCGGGAAGTAAGGTCCTTTGAACTGGAAAGCCCGTTTCCACTTGGCCAGAGCTGGGAGTGCCCCACTGGGCTCCTGGGTTTCTCGTTGGGCCAGCAGGTGGAGCAGCTGCCTTCGCCTGGTCCCTGTACCCCTATGCCTGGCCAGGAATGTTCCTCACCACTTCCTGCTTGTGTCTTTGTTCAGGAGGAGAACATTTGTTTGCACTGGGCAGCCTTCTCAGGCTGTGTGGACATAGCAGAGATTCTGCTGGCTGCCAGGTGTGACCTGCATGCTGTGAACATCCATGGGGACTCACCCCTACACATCGCTGCCCGGGAGAACCGCTACGACTGTGTTGTGTGAGTGTGGCCCTGCCCTGAGGCTGCTGAAGGGTTCTGTCTTCATGGGTCTGGAGCCAGTGTAACCCTGTGCCCCTTGGGGTCTTGCTGGTGGAGAGGCATCTTTCTCAGTCCACATTTGAGACTCACTGTGGCTTACTGCTGGCTTAGAGAGGGTTGTGTGAAAAGTTCCCAATTCTTAAGTTGGAGCTTAAGCAGAGTCTCACCTGACACTTCTGGGAGGCAGCGTGGGGACGGTTCTGCTCTGCCTGGGTTCCTGCTGTTGTGACGGCCGTGGGAGCATTCCCCACAGACAGGGATGGAGATGGTAGCAGTGTCTGCACTGGCTGCTCAAGGTTCTTTTTAGCCACAAGGTCTTCTTGTATTTAGAAGTGAGTCGTGGTGCAGCCTTGCTTTGCTGCTGGATCAGGACAGAGGTTCGGCTGCTGCTCGGATCAGCAGGCACCTGCAGCAGGGCCCACCTCACCTGGAAATAGGGGTTGAATGCTTTCCATGGCTTCTGCAAATGGGTACATGCCCCTGAGTCTATGCTGTCCCTTTACCATCCCTGCTGCTGTACTCAAAGGTCACACTTGGAGGGTGGATTTGGAAGGGGAGTCAGACCCCAAGTCTGGTTCTTAAATGCTCTTCGGGCTGACTGACTGGTGAGAGGAGTGAGCTATAAGGGTGCAGTGCGTGTGTTGAGGGTTTTTCAGGATGGGTAGTATGTGTTGTTCCTAGAAAGTGTTTTCAAACTCTCCACTGTGTCTGTTTTAAATTAAGATTTGGATGTTTTGTTGGCTTACATTTTTCCTTTTAGCCTCTTTCTTTCTCGGGATTCAGATGTCACCTTAAAAAACAAGGAAGGAGAGACACCTCTGCAGTGCGCCAGCCTCAACTCCCAGGTGTGGAGTGCCCTGCAGGTGAGCAAGGCACTGCGGGACTCAGCCCCTGACAAGCCTGCTGCAGTGGAGAAGATTGTGAGCAGGTGAGCAGGCTCCAGAACCAAGGTGGCTCTGGGTGGCTCATCGGCAGGTGGGGCTGGAAGAGCTTGGAGTGAATGTGTGTGCTGGAGCCAGAGCCCAGGTTGTCTGGGCGGGTGCCAGGCAAAGACCGTGCCTCCCTTGGGGTAGAACTTGGAGCAGTGACTCAACAGCCTCCCTTTCCTGTGCAGAGACATTGCGCGAGGCTATGAGCGTATCCCCATCCCCTGTGTCAACGCAGTGGACAGCGAGCCATGCCCCAGCAACTACAAGTATGTGTCTCAGAACTGTGTGACGTCCCCCATGAATATCGACAGGAACATCACCCACCTGCAGGTTGGTGGGTGAGCAGGGCTGCCGGGCAGGATGGGGCAGTCCTTGGGCCTGGGAGCTAGGCTCTTCTCAGCACTCAGAAAAACTACGCTCTCAGCAGTTGCCTCCTCAGAGGATGTGAAAGGCAGATGAAGAACCTCCTAGAAAAAATATGCACACTGTGAGAGGCTAAGGCAGGAGGATCACAAGTTTAAGCCCAGCCTGGGCAACTTGGTGACTGTCAAAACAAAAAATAAAAAGGGCTAGGATTTAGGTCTACATGAAAGCCCTGGGTTCAATCCCTAGTACTTAAAAAAAAAAAAAAAAAAAATCCCACAGCTCTGGGTGTTCCCCAGTCAGTGGTGACCTAGGACCCTGTGCTGCTTGGTCCTTAGGGCATGAATGAGGGGCACCGAACAGGTAACCTGTCCCCGACCCCCTACAGGACACAGTCCAGCAAATGACTTTTCCCAGCTCTGAGGTCACACAGGACCCTGAGAATCTATCATCCACTTCCTCTTCCTTCTCTGGCTAAAACTAGACATATTCTCCAGGACTGTCCTGTGGTTATGCTTGTACACAGCTCCCTGTCGCAGGATGGGCACTGTTTGGGCTTCAGGCAGGAGTTGTGGGACCTGAGCATCTCCTGTCCTCCCTTGGAGGGGCCGGGCCTGGCTGACCTGCCACCTCCTCTCCTACAGTATCTGAGTCTTCTATCTTGTCCTGAGCATTCTCACTCTTCTGAGAAAATCTGTGGATGAGGGGTGGTTCTAAGGGTGTGCAGAGCACTCCATGTGCCCCTGTGCCTGACAGGCTATGCTCTCTGTCCCCAGTACTGCGTTTGCACAGATGACTGCTCCTCCAGCACCTGCATGTGTGGCCAGCTCAGTATGCGCTGCTGGTACGATAAGGTGAGGGGTGTGTGTTGGCTGCTCATGCTTGTGGGGTGAGTGCTGTGAGGGGACTGTATCATTGCCCACCATGACCTGTGTTTGGAGGAGGAGTTGGAGGTGAGCCAGTGTGAAGGCCAGATAGAAGGGAAGAACAAGCTGGAAGTGAGGGGGTCCCTTGAGCAACCATGGGACCGAGGCCTGGACTCTGCAGGCCCAGTTCAGCAACCTTGGTACCACCGGATAGCGGCCAGGTAGAAGGTCTGGCATGGCCCTGGGAAGAAACAGTCTCTATTCCTTGTGCGTGGTAAGCCTTGCAGAGGCTAAATCTGGGTAGGTGGAGTGGGCATGGCTAGGCACTGTGGCCGGCAAAGTTGTGAGCTTGGGATCCGTGGGTCTGGGCAGGAGGAGCAGGGAGCTGGTATGCAGTTCAGGATCATTACAGTCATGCGTAGGAGCAGCAGAAGCAGGCTGGGTGAGGATAGCAGCAGGTTCTTTCCAGGGGACTGTGGAGGAGGGGGTCATGGCAGGGGACTTTGCTGTCTGACAGTGGGGACAACACAAGGAGAGCAGTGTGGCCAGTGTGGGGGCAGTGGTGTCACTGGTGGCGATGGAGCATGGGCCATATTCAGGTTCAGGACCAAGCTCCCACTGCTTGGATGCCCTGAACCTTGCATGGCTCTGTGTGTTGTTTGTGCATAGTGGGGGGTGGGCAGTGGCTGAGTCCCCCAAACTTGGGGACTGGCAAGGCTGAGAGTTTAGCAGGCACAGACCGTCTGGAGGGAGAGTAGGGCCTCAGCGAGGCTATGAAAGGCCAGGGCAGGAAGTTAGGACAGCAGTGTGACTGAGCCGCAGCTCAGTGAGGCCTCCCCTGCATACCACCAATGCACTGTTTGATCTAGTGCTCCCCAGTGTTGAAGTTGGAGGCTACACTGGGCCCTGTGTAAACACGTGTTGATGTTAGTTGATTTAAAAAGATGATCGACACTGCTGGGCCTTCGTGGCTGTCTGTCTGCAGGATGGCCGGCTCTTACCTGAGTTCAACATGGCTGAGCCTCCCCTGATCTTTGAGTGTAACCATGCCTGCTCCTGCTGGAGGAACTGCCGCAACCGTGTTGTGCAGAATGGGCTCAGGTAAGAAGTGCAGTGTGCTGGGCCCTGCTACCTGGTGTGCAAGCATGTGCATTTGCACCACAGCCAATGCCTTGTCTCCTAGAAGTGTCCTTTGTGTTGGCCATGACTAGTCAGGCCCCCATCACAGACTCAGACTGTAGAGAAGGATGGTGTTGGGTCTTTGGAACCAAAATCAGAGGGACCGACATGGCCTGCGTTCATGGCCGCCATCTCAGTGGATTGGGCTGATTTCACTGTTTTAGTGCTCAACTCGTTTTCTCTTCCTAATTTTTTGGCTTCTGTAGTGGTCGGTACTGGTGTCTCTCAGACTGCTGGCTCCTTCCTGAGGTACTCACAGCACTTGTCCCCTGCATTCTTTCAGCCAGGGTCAGGTTTTAGCATCAGCCACCCTGGTGTCTGGTAGAGGGGAGGACAGATTGTAAGTGACCAGCCTACACTTCTCTTTCCAGGGCAGAACAGATACCCTTTCCCCTACCCTAAAGCAATGCCACTGCCCAGGTTACTGACATTGTGTGTTGGTTCCCATGGCAACCAGGTCAGCTAGGCCAGGTGCAGATGAGACTGAGGCACAGCTAAGGCTACCACCTTCTAAATGTTGACAGGCTGAGCTCTGTGCCTGCAGCTTCTGGCAAAGCTGTAGCATTCTCAGATGAGAAGCCCATGTTTTCCTCTTCACTTACTCATATCTCATTTGAGAATGTGAGGGGACCTGGAATGTGCTGAGCCCAAACCACCTCTCCTCGTTCTGTTTTCCAGGGCAAGGCTGCAGCTCTATCGGACACAGGATGTGGGCTGGGGCGTGCGGACCCTGCAGGACATCTCCGTGGGCACCTTCGTCTGCGAGTATGTGGGTCCCTGTTGCCCAGGAAGGCTGGCTGCATGTGTCATTTCTGGGATGACGTGTTGTGTCTGCACTGCAGGACACTCTTGGGAGCAGGCACCCAACTCCTACAGAAGTGGATGTGGGGCAGAGAGGCCGTGGCTGTCTAGCCTCTCAAGCAGCCATTGGCCAGCTGCCCAGACACCAGCCTCCCACTGTCTCAGCCTCCAATTGCTGCCCAGTATCTGTCCCTCGTCACTGTCACTTCTGTCAGGTGCCTGGCAGAGGTATCCTGCACAGTGCTGGTCACACAGGAGCATGTCCTGATCCTCAGATCCCACTTTAGGCATGAGCCTGTGGTGTTTCCTGGTGTCTGCAGAACACTGGATTTCTGTGGCTCCCCTGGCACCACTATCCATGTGAGGGCATGAAGATGGCATATGTCTGGGCTTACTCAATGTCCTCTCTTCTCCCTGCAGGTATGTTGGAGAGCTGATCTCTGACTCAGAAGCTGACGTTCGGGAAGAAGACTCCTATCTCTTTGACCTTGACAACAAGGTACTGTGCTTCACAGGGCTGAGGCATAAGGAGCTGGCTGTGAACTGTAGAACATGGATAGTTTGCTCAGTCCAAGGGCCTGGATAGTGCCTAGTGCAGCCAGTCCTGGAGACCAACAGAAAACAAGCACCTGCTATTGATTGGTGCCACTGCTCAGGCTGCCCTGGGCTCAGTGCTCCTCATGAAGCCCCCAACTGGGGAGGCCTGTGCTTATGGAATGAGCCACCTACCAGGAACTCCAGCTGCTGCTCTGGGCTAGAGCCCAGCAGGCCTGAGTCTGCCAGAGACTGACGGGGCCATGGCTTTGAGCAGGGATCACACATGAACAGAGGGGCTGCCAGGCGTGCCCTTCATGTCCAGTTGACCTCTGTGGTGCTGGAATCATGTGCTGGGAGAACAGAGGCCAGAGCTGGGTCGGCTCTTGGACTTGATATCTGGCATGTCCAGGCTGGAGTTCAGATGGCTGAGACCCAGCTCAGCCCATTGATTCTTCCTTTCTCTGAATTCCAGTGGATGTCCCCACCATAGTCTCTGGTCCCTGCAGTCACGTAGGACATAAACTAAAACAGGTTTAATTGCATTGTTGGCACTTTGTGATAAATGAGTGGGTTTGGGGTTGCAGTTTGGGGACCAGGTCTCTAAAAGTTTCCCCTTCACTGTTCTAAGGTATCAGCTTTAGTGAAATGATGTGTTTCCCCAGAAAGAAGCTGAGTGCTGGAATGTTACTCTCGCAGGTATCTATAGTGACACCCAGCCCCAAGCGATAGTATCTTCTGCCATTTTATGTGTGTGCACCTACACATGTGGCTAGAGTGTGTTTGTGTGTATGTGCGTGCGCGTGTGTGCGCCTAGCATGTACCTGTGTGTATGCAGTACACACACCTGGGGGGGTAACGGCCATGGAAGGTATCCTCTTGTCATTGCCTGCCAGTCTTTCTAGGACTGTCCTCCTGGTGGTTTGAGGCCCATGTTGTGGTGAATGCTCTGTCCCTGGTGCGTACCTCAAGTATTGTTTATCTCCTGTGGCTATTTTTCTTTCTTTCTAGTAATGTCTTACAATGAGCAAAAGTTCTTCTTTTCATTGTAGTCTGATTTATCAGTCTTCTACGTGCTTAAAAGGGCTTTTGTAATACCTTAGTAGGTCCCTGGCCAGGCTCTGTGTGCTGTATGTCTGTGTCAAGGTGACTGTGTGTGTTTGAACCCACATGCCCACATATAGGTCCTGGAAATTTCTACTTTTGCCTCCAGGAACAAATCTGCTGTTCTGTATGCAAGAGTTTTCCTTCCTCTTGGTAAATACCTGGGAGTGGAGTTGCTAGGTTGTGTGGTAAGGGTATATCTGACTTCAAAAGAATGCATTTTTCAAAGTGGTCACTCCACTTGACATTTTCACCGGCAACAAATGAGTTACGGGCACTATAATTTTAATTTGTGTTTTCTTAGTGGTTGATGATGTTGAGCATCTTTTCATATGTTTATTGTATACTCTCAGATCTTTTGTGAGGCAATTTTAAACTCATTGCCCATTTTTCGTGGGGCTGTTCCTGTCTTGGATAGGAAGAACTGTTCATGTCTTCTTGAGTTTTGCAGTTGTTGGGTCTTTGTATTCAGCATATGTTGTGAATATTTCTTTTCAACCTGCCCCTTACCTCCTGGTTTTCTTTTTCTTTCTTTTTTTTTTTTTTGATACTGGGAATCCAGTTCAGGACCTTGTGCTTGCCAGGTAGGTGCTGTGCTGCTGAGCTAGATCCCTGCCCCTCTTCTGATTTTCTTGACAGTCTTTCAGGAAGTAGAACTTTTTATTGTTTGTGCTTTCTGCAGCCTGGGAAATTCTTGTCTACCCAAAGGTCCTGAGGATTTCCTCCCACCTCTTTCTCTAGAAGTTTTGTGTTTGATCCTTCACTTGTGCTGATCCAGCATCAGTGCATGGTCTGAGATGTGGCTGGCCTGATTCTTCTCTGTGACTGTGTGACTCACCCCCGCCTGAGACGTCACTGCTTTGTGTTCCTTTTTCTTGTTTGCCTGTGGCCCTGACACCAGCATATGTTCTTGGTGATGGTGGGATTTAGTAAAACTTGGGACCAGTCCTCAAATGATTCTTTTGCAAGTCCTGTTAGCTTTCAGGCCTTTCCTTTCCCAGGTAAGGTTGGGAACAAGTGTGTCAATATGTGCAGGGGTCCCTGGGCCCTGGTGTCCTGGCACTGACATGGGGGACTGTCCACTGGGTTGGATCTGTGCTTTCTCTGAGCAGAGCCTTTATGTTCAGTGTGTAAATGTTACACACATTTTGTTACATTTATTTCCCCAACAGTGTCCTGCCTTTTGTTCCTGTAAAGAGTATCGCTTTCTTATTTCATTTCCCTATTATTTGTGGCTATCCTTAGAATAGTGGATTTTCTGTATTTTAACCTTGTTAAATTCACTCTCAGTTTTGGCAGCTTTTTGGAATATTCATTAGAAGGCTTGCACATGTGATCATGTCCTGGGTGAGTATGGCTTGCTCTCTGTCTCTAGGCTTTGCCTTGCGGTGAGCATGGCTGGGCCCCCTGCTCATCTTGGTGCTGTCCCTAGGAATCCTGCATCTGCCCTGCAGCAGATGGTAGGGCCAGGCCACCTGCAAGCACTCACACATTGCTAGGATTCAGCTCCATAGCAGTCAGTGAGACCCTGCCCTCAATGCTGCTCACAGGGTGGCCATAGCACATCTTCTCCACAGTGCTCCTCACGTCTTTCCAGGCTTCCCTTCCCCCTCTTGGTGCATGGCCACCTGAACCTCCTGTACTGCACCTCTGCCTTTCCAGAATAGCACAGGAATGGTTCTCCTTGCTCATGTGAAAATCTATGAATATAGCATAGTCTCTTCGTTACCTGCTCCAGACCCCAGTCCATGTCTGCCTGATGAGATGTCTCAGGGCTGGAGCATGTTCTTCCTGCTCTGTCCTGGAAGGAACATTATGGTATCTGAGTCCCTGTCCCTGAGGTGGGGGCATTCCTGGACTGTCCCCTTTGCCTGCTGTCTCAGCACTATAGAGAACAGGTTGTTGGTCATGGGTGCCTACCATGCCTTCCACACTTACTAGAAGGAATTCTTTCTAAGAAAATACAAAACCCTTCCCATGCATGCTAATCCTACATGTTTTAATCAATGAAGCCATTCTTCGCTAATTTGCAGTTGTCACTTTCTGGCCTTCAGGGCCATGGGAATTAGCCTCCACCTCGCTCCATTGTGGGTCTTACATTTTGGTACCGGCAAGGTTCCTCTGTTAGCCCTTCCCCTGGAATCAGCTGTTTCTCTCAGACATCTTTTTCTTTGATGGATGAATTATTTCAGATAAAATCAAATGCAGATTGCTTATTTCTGTCAGGTACCACTGGCTGTAGACCCTGCTGTCAGAGAACAAAGTAACAAAATAAGGCTGCACTTAACTCTGCACTCATGCTGATGATTCTAGTACAGGGATTTTACCCCGTTTTTCTTTTTTCTTTTTGCTTCATACTTGTATCTCCTATAGTGAAAAACTTAGTTCTTAAAACCCCTACTTTCAGAGCAGCATAGCAGTGCTGCAGTGATAGTGAATGATACCTGTTTACAGAAGCAATGTTGCCACAGTGGCAGGGAGTGCAGTGTGATTCCCGAGGGGTATTGACCATATTGCTGTGCATAGAGGATGCTGTGCAGTTACCCACGCAGTTGGTGTTGCCATGGTGACAGTGATGAAGTATGGTTACCAAGGGGGATTGACTGCATTGCCATGGTGGCAGGGAATGCAGTGAGGGACTTTGATGGTGATGCCATGGTGACAGGAATACACTGAAGTTACAAGGTATGTTGATGGTGTTGCCATGGTGACAATGATGCAGTGTGGTTCCCAAGAGGCTTGCTGTGGTAGCAGGAAATGGTGTGTAGTTATCCAGAGATGTGGATGGTGTTGCCCCAGTGGCAAGGAACGCAGTTACCCAGGGACATTGATGGTGCTGCCCTGGTCACAGTGAATGGCAGGGTGGCTATCGGGCAAGGGGTGTTGCTGGTGTTGCTACAGTGGCAGGGATTGTGACAAGGTCACCAAGGGACATTTGCCTATTCTACAGTGGCAATGGGTCCAGGGCAATTGCCAAGTAATGTTGACAGTTTTTTTGTAGGGTTTTGGTCTTTGGAATACATTCCACTAGAGATGTGTAACTGCTTTGCAACACTTGAAATAATTATTTTTGTTCAGGTTTGTTACTCATATCAAATCCAGTTGTATTAATGTGTTTTAGTTCATTTTAGATTTTGGAGCTTAAAAATTTTTTAATTTTTTATTTTACAAAAGATTGATTTACATGCTTTAAGAATTGTAAGATGTTAAGGCAAGAAGATTACAAATTTGAATACATCTGGAACTTAGCAAGACCCTGTCTCAAAACAAAAAATTAAAAATGGATGGGGAAGGCCCTAGGTTTAATCCCCAGTACCACAAAAGATAAAAAGGACGTACATTAGAGAAGAGCCTTATGCTGTCCAAATTCTCGTGTTGTGTGTCAGGCTGCTGTGGAAACACCATAGATGGGCTGGAGTCCTGGGCCTAGCACTGCTGGCTCCTGGCCAGCGCCTTCTCACCATTCTCCATGTGGTGTGAGTGGTGAGGAGCTCTTTGATCGCATCAGATCTCCACACAGGGTTCCATCAGCTCCCTAAGGCTCCACCTCCCAATACTGTCTCCTCAAGGGAGGATTTCTACTAGGAATTTGAAGGCAACAGACACTGTGACCATGGCATCCTGACAGGTACCCACCCATACGTAAATTACATGAAAAATACTTCCCAGAATTTCTTCGTCCTCCTTGTGCTCACACAGGTAGTGGGAGGGTCCATGTGCTTCGCTCCACACCTCACACCTTCCTGTGTATCAAAGTCAGTGTATTAATTAGCAGGATGTAGACCCTTTTTCAGCCATTTTGGGACACTGAGGAAAACCTCAGCTTTTGCTCTTTCTGCACGTGGCCTCTCAGTGAGTGATTATGCGCACTTTTAGTCTCAGTCTACCATTGTCAAATGGTCCCCATGGTTCTGTTCACCTGAACAGTGGTGGGTTCACAGCCAAGGAGTTTGATTACAATGCTTATTTGCCTATTGTTTCTTTTTTTATGAGACAGGGTCTCACTGTGTAATTCAAGCTGATCTTTAACTCAGTGTGTAGCCCTGGATGGCTCTGAACTGAAGACAGTCCTCTGCCTCAGCCTCCTGAGGGCTGGAATTATAGGCATGCGCCACCATGACTAGCCCCATTGATTTTTGTATTGCTTCTGTTTCTCTGCTGAGACTTCCTTCTCTGAGATGCTCGGAGAGGATCTGTGCTGCTGAAGAGAGGCTTTTGGAAAACCTCCTCTCGGCAGGGCAATGTCTGGTGCAACCCAGGGCTAGATTTGACTGGCTCTCGTCTGTCTAGAGTGTGTCCGTGCTCTTGCCTTTCTGTGCCTTTCGTGTGGGTTGGCGATGCTGACTTGTGCAGAATTGTCGCTTTCTCTGATGTGTTACCTCGTCTTGCTTATTGGCCTGACTTCAGCTTCCAGCTCTGCTTTACACATGCAGCTCTGGTCTCTGACCTGGCCATTTCCCTGTCAGCTCCCCCGCCCCATCCCGGGGCCATCAACCATGTCTGTGTCTCTGTTCCGGTCTTTCAAGGCTGTTTTCAGCCTGGCTCCATCAGCCAGAGGTCTTGCATGGCCTTGGCCACCCGCAAGGGGGTCTTTCTCCTGAGTCCACAGCCCTGGACTCCAGCAGCCAGCCCTCAGTGTTTGGGGCCCAGCCTGCATGCTCAGCCTCTTACTGGCTGTGTTGTTCCTTGGTACCTCAGACCTATGTGGTTGATAGTTTCAGGGTGCTTTCTACAGGGCCAGGGCTACCTGTCGATTCTAATTTCATAGCACCCACAAGCAGAGGCCCAAGTAAGTCTACCACCTGAGGTTGTGGAGCCATGGTTTCTTTGGGGCAGACCTGGGGCAGACCTAGGCCAAGGGTGGCTGTGTCCTTGATTTCAGTGGTGGTTGCCAAGTTTGCTTTGAGGTGTGTTCTCTTGGGGATATTGATGGGGTCACTCATCTGCATCCACAGATCTGAGCTCCTCTAGAGCTCTCCATACCGCTCGTCCTGTTATCCAGAGGGTCGCTGGAGCTCAGCCTCTTGCCTACACTTCCCTCGTGGGTTTGGGCTTGATCTCGGGAGTGCCCTTGGCCTTCTGCTGAAGGGTCCTATGGGTGACCAGGTACCTGGGAGCTGTGCTCACAGGGCCCTGCCATCTCCAGGACTTAGGTCCTAGAAGACACTCCACACACTGTTCCAGTTTACCTGACTGGACTTGTCAGCCAGGGCTGCAACTTAATAGTTTATGCCTGCAATCACAGAAGAGTTGCAGGTGTGCAGTGTGGCCTTGGGGCCCTATCCAGCCGGGTACCTCCTTGGGGCCGAACAGGACCATGTCCAGGTCCTTACTGGCTGCCAGCTGGGCCTCCTGTGTGCCATGCAGCCTTGTCCAGGAGCAGCAGCTTCTCACACCTGGGGTTCCTGCAGAGAAAGAAAGCTCTGTGTCTAAAGACACTTGCGGGTTGGTCTAGCCCTCCGTCCTGTTTGTATCTTCCAGTCCACTCAGAGTCCCTGTCATGGTATAAAGCCTCATGAGTGATACAGGTGACGTCATGACCACCTGGGACCCTGGGCTCTTCTCAGTTCCCTGGGTTAGCAGACACCCTGTCTCTTGTACGATGGGAGTCAGTGTCATGTGGCCCTGTTGCTGTTCTGCCAAACCCCCAACTGTCACCACAGGTCACAGGAAGGGTCTTTGATCATGACAGAGTCCATGCCCAGCTCTGGCTCTCCGGCTACTATGCAGATGAGGGCAGTGCATCCTGGGTCCCAAGGGCTGGAGCCTTTGACTGACCTTTCTTCTCGCCAGGATGGAGAGGTATACTGCATTGATGCACGCTTCTATGGCAATGTCAGCCGCTTCATCAACCACCACTGCGAGCCCAACCTTGTGCCGGTGCGTGTATTCATGTCTCACCAGGACCTGCGGTTTCCCCGGATAGCCTTCTTCAGCACCCGCCTGATCCATGCTGGAGAACAGCTGGGGTACGTACAGCCAGGCCAGGGGAATGGTGCGGAAGTGGGCGGATGCTGGGTCAGTGGCTTTGTCCAGCACATGGAGGTGCTGAGCCTTCTCTTCACCCCCAGGTTCGACTATGGGGAGCGATTCTGGGACATTAAAGGCAAGCTCTTCAGCTGCCGCTGCGGCTCCCCCAAATGCCGGCACTCAAGTGCGGCCCTGGCACAGCGGCAGGCCAGCGCAGCTCAGGAGGCCCAGGAGCATGGCCTGCCGGACACCAGCTCTGCAGCTGCTGCTGACCCACTATGAGGTGCAGAGGGGCTGGGAGGGCCTGGGGTCAGACCTGGCCAACTGTGACTTAGAGAAAGAAGGTTCTTCCTGGAATGTCCACAGAGTCCCAGGGGGTTGGACCCCTCCCAGGAGTGTCCATTCTGAGGCCTCACACGTAAGCCCAGCACCAGGCCAGAGTGCACGCTGGACCACACGCACCTCAGAGACGCTGGGACTCCACGGGGTATGACCTTGGGGGCTTCTGACAGTGTCTTGTCCTTGCGATGTTTCTCATTTCCTCCTCTGGCCTCAGAGGTTCTCGCCCCACCACTGCGTTTGTTTGTTCTCCTGCCAGGCCAGACTCCCATGCGGCCCCTCCTGTGGCTGCTCAATGAGACCAGCGCCACAGGGCAGCTGGGCGGCCCAGGGCCACACACAGGACACGTCCACGGCCCGGAGTGGTCAGGGTGGCCCTGCCCTGACTCAAGGAAATATGGGCCTCCTTTTTAAAGAAGTCCTCTCTCTGTGTATCAAACCCTGGCTGGTATTTCTGTGTGAGGGTTGGTGGGCAGGCAGACCCCACACCAGCCCTGCCAGCTCCACCCATGCTGGCACCTTCTGTTGATTTTTAAGCCACATGCTATGATGATGAATAAACTGATTTATTTTCTATCATTACTGAACATTAGGACAAACAAAGAATAAAAACACAAAACACAGTCAACGGTGCTGAATCTGGTGTGGTTTCTACTCACCATGTGAAAATAAACTATCAACTGTAAAAAGAGAACAAAGGATTTTAGAATTAAACGCAGGAAACTCTTTTTTAAAATGTTAGCCTTGTAGTGTGAATAAATTTGCTGTCACCTTTTGTGTGACAGCCTGGCAGGTCATGTACTTTTTCGGCATATACCTTTCTAAATACTGTAATTAGTGCAGGGCAGTGGAGTTCTTTTCGTGTGACTCTTCTAAACATTCATAATGCAGTCATGTTTATTTTTTCTGTTAAAATGTTTTTGACGGTTTTAAGAGCAGTCTTTTGGCTCAGACCATTTCTTGTTCTGTTTTCAATGAAATCAATAAAAAAAAAAAAGAAACACTGTAAGTGAAGTTTCATTATGACACCACGTTTCTGCTGGTCTCTGCAGAGCCCAACTTGCCAGGTGGGAGCGATACTCAGGCTCCCGCTGCCTAGGACCCGAACAAGCCCCGCCTGCACCCCAAATAGTCAGTGCAGCCTTCTCCTCACCCAGTCCTGTCCCCACAGAGGGGACACTGGCACACTTGAGGAGAACCACCGCATGTACGTGTGTCAGCATTCGCAGGCTAGGAGTCTTTCTGGAGCTGTGGGGCAGCGCCAAGTGAGTCCCCATGTCCCCGGTGTTGTTGCCCCTGGAGCTCCATGAGGCCAAGTAGCCACACAGGGCCCTTCCTCCTTTCCACCCACCCTAGGACACTGGCCCAAAGCTGCATGCTGTGCACTGCATGCAGGCCTGGCCTGCTCCATAGGAGCTTGTAAGTGCAATAAAAAATAGATCAAAAGCTGTTTCCAGTAAACGGAATTCATTCAGGTAGGCATTTTCTAGAAGGAAGGCAGTTATCCTTGTGTTCCAGGCAGCCCCACAGGGTGACCTGAGGCTCTGGTGCCAGCAACAGGGGCAAGAGGTCTGGGTCAGGTGTGACTGCACAGTGTAGGACACACAGGGCAGTGGCCACCGTCTTGGGCACCTGGACCTTGGCAGCTGTGGCCCTCACAACTCAAGGAGGGGCTGTGCAGCCCAGGGAGGTCGGAAGAAACCCAGGTTAGGAGGGCTCAGGGCTATGGGCCAGGTGACCACCTCATCTAGCAGTATGGAGGTGGCAGGGGGCCCTGGGCTCATGGTTGAGGCACCACTGACCCCATAGTTGGATGGGGTTCTAGTGCTTTGCATGTGGACTGTTCACCTGCCTTGGATCTGGAGTTGGATGTGCAGAAGGTATGTGTCCAGCCAGGACCCAGGCCAGCTGCAGTTCTCAGAGGCATCAGGAGGGCCAGCAGTGAGAGATGGGGATGAGGACACCCACAGACCTTATCATAATCGATTCCATCACCTAATGGGGTGCCCACCTTATACAACAAAGAGACAGGCTGAGGTGTCTGGGGTCACCTGGGCTGCGAATGCTCTGTCTGTAGTGACCCCTGCCTCCTGTGTGGGTGGCAGGTGAGACCCAAGGCTCTAAGCAGGGACAGGTATACAAGTATGGGCATCAAGTGAGGTTCTGGGCTCTGAACCCAGGACAGTGGGACCCTGTACTCTGACCCAGCACACCCATTGCAGATGTGAAGATCTGGTGTCCAAGACCAGTGTGCCTTCCAGGGCTCAGCCTCATGGCCAGGTTGTGTTGTCCTGGTGGTGTTAGGTGGGCCCCTTGGGGTGCCTGTCGATTCTAATTTCATAGCACCCACAAGCAGAGGCCCAAGTCTACCACCTGAGGTTGTGGAGCCATGGTTTCTTTGGGGCAGACCTAGGCCAAGGGTGGCTGTGTCCTTGATTTTAGTGGTGGTTGCCAAGTTTGCTTTGAGGTGTGTTCTCTTGGGGATATTGAAGGGGTCAATCAATTCCTGGCACCTCCTCCTCCCTGTCAGTGTCCTGAGTTCTGTGCTGGGCCAAGTCTAGAATCCTTGGGGTCATCCTTCAAGTGCAAGACCCCTCAGGGCTTCCCCTGGTGGCCGGAGAGAACCTTGCTTCCAAGAGGCAGCCGCCTGGTCACACAGGCCTCTGCCCAAACAGCTGTGGCTGCTGCCTGGACAGAAGCCACCCAGCCACACTGGTGGCTGTTATGCCATGAACATCATGTCTGGTTATTACAAAAACCTAAACACGTAGAGCTGGAAGAAAAACCCTCCAGAAATTCCCCTTTGGCCACTTCTGCCTGCATGGACCACAGTGCGTGCATCTGTGTGCACAGCTTCAGGAGGATCACAGTGGTGCCAGGCGCCAGCTGGTGTGTCCCAGCCACCCAGTATCTGAACTGTCAACCTCTGCTGGGGTACTTAGGAACAGCTCCATCCTTCACTAGTAAGAGCACCCTGAGAGATGAGTCCTGTGCATCACCCTTTCTACTTGTGCAGTGATCTTCAGGAAAGGGGTCTCAGCCCATATCCAACTGGGAAAGCAAAGCCAGGAAAAAGGTTAAAAAAAAAGAAACGCTGAAGCCCTCCAGAGTAGAGGGAGGATGTTGCAGAGCTTCTGCTCACCCGGCACAAGTGGAAGCTGCTGGACGTTCTTGGGCTGGTGGGGGCAGCTGCAGCCAGCACCGCGGCTCAGGTCTCTGGGCCATGCGGACCGACTCACAGAATGGATTTGCAGTGCACACATCGACCAGCCAGGACCTCCCTCTGCAAACACTTCTTGGAGAGCTCCCCAGGGAACTAACTTCCTGGCTTTTGGAACCCAAAGTGCAAATCTTTGTTTCCCAAATAAATGTTTATTTGACTTCCGGTCAGCCTTAACTCGGTGATCTGTTACCAGTGTCACGCAGGAAGCGCAGGCCTGTCCTTGCCCCACTAGGGGGCTTCCTTTCCCAAATTGAGAGCACTTCTTACTCCTGTCTGCAGGAAAGACTTTGTTATTTTGCACTCCTTGGGTTATTGATAAAATTGATTTATTACACATTTCCCTTTTGTGAGCTGCCTTCATGCAGTGTTTGTGTTATTGGCATTCTTCTTACTTATATGGGCTCTCTATATATTGTAGTTTTATGCCCTCACTGATTTTAAATTTTATACGTGGCAAAATCTGACTTGTGATTTCTAATTGTTACTGTACTTGGAAGGACCTTATCTATTCCCAAATTTTAGAAATCACCACCACTGGTTCTAGCTCTTGGTTTTGACTCCAGGTAGAACTTATTCCATGAGTGGTGTATGATGCAGATGTGACTTTTACATACTGAGGCATGATTCATTGACGGACAGTGCACAGATCTTGTGTGGCCAGCTCTGTAAGCTCTGACAGGAGCTTTCACCGAGTGACTCCCCCGTCATCCAGACAGGGACTGGTCCCCCTCCCAGGGATGCTCTCTGCTACTTCCCTGCCACCCACCGCCCTGAGAGGCAATGCCAGTTCTGAGTCATTCTCAGCTGTTCTAGAACTCATGTTAGTGGGCCACAAGCTGGCCACTGTGTGGTTTCTCTGCTCTCGTTCCCCAGAGCATTGCTCTACTGATCCTTCCTCAGTGTTGAAGAGATTTCTGTGCCAGGAGCATGTGGAATTTGCTTACCCACTCTCCTAGCATGCTGTCCTGTCCAGCTGTGGCTGTGACATAATGAGCTACATGGTGAGCTCCCACACTGCACCAGTCACAGCCCTCAGCCTGCCCTCGGTGCTGCAGCCTGGTTTGGAGCAAGGGCAGTTTACCTTTTGTTACTTTCTCGATTAGTACTTTATCCCAAGGTGCCCTAGGCATCTCCAATGCTTCATTTCCTGTATTCTTCCAAGGCCATGGCACCATGATGGCCTGACTGTGGTCTGAGTGTCCCCCAGGAATTCAAATGTTGAGGTGTGAAGTGGTGTACCCTTGTGGAATGAATGGTTGGAAAAAGGTATCAGGGGGAGCCCTGTGGTTGAGTCCTGGTGGCTTTGTAAGCCGACACAGCTGAGAAGAGACACAGACGCTGTGTCTTGTGTCCACACAGCTCCCAGAGGCCCCAGGAAGTGGCCGCTACCAAATGTGGGCCCCCAGCCTTAAACCAGCACTGTGTGCCAAGATCAGCCCCTTCTGCTGTAAGCCTGCTCGAGTGTTTGTGATAGTAATGGAAGTTTGAGTAATAAAACATGGACTTACTGTGTGTGGTGTCCACACCCACTTTGTCATCTTTTTTTTTTTTTTTTTTTTGGTACCGGAAATTGAGCTCAGGACCTTGCCAGGCAGGACTTGTGCCGCTGAGCTATATCCCCGGCCCTCCACACCCACTTTGAATTCATCTTTGTGGTGGGGGTTAGGCGGGGGTCGTGTTTGCTTGTCATGGGAGGTCCAGCCTTATTCGCTGCTCTCTAGAGTCTTTGCCCCCACTAAGTTGTCTGGACTCCTCTGGAGCATGAGGTGATGCATGCACAAGGCTCCTTATTTTGGGGCTGTTTTGTTCCACTAGCTATTGTCATCTTTATGGCAATATTATCCTGTCTTCTTATTGGAGCTTTATGTATCAGAACTGCACAGATGTCAGCTTTTATAAGAAAAGTCTGGTGGGATTTCTTGACCCTTCTAGATCAGTGTTATTGGGTGTCTTTTAATATAAAAGGAACCTGTTCTAAGTTGCTGGGTATTTGGCAGATGTTGCCATTCCGTAACAGCCCTGACTTGAGACATAGGGCACCCTCACTGCCTCTGAGGCTTCCTGGAGCCTCAGACCTCCCCCGCCCCGCCAGGCTCTGGTATCTCCCATGCCAGGATTTCCTATAGCACACTGCGCTGTCTCTGGCCTTCTTTGCTTGATGTTTCATTTTAATTTTTGAAACAATCTCAGACTTAAAGAAATTGTGCAAGTGCAGCACAGGAAAATCTCCTCTGTGGATGATTTGAGAATAAACTGCCACCTGATTACCCAACATCCTAAATGTGCACATTCCTAGGGCAGGGACACTGCCCTGTAACGGCCACGTATGGACACCAGCCCTGCTCCCCGCTGTCCAGCCTCAGACCCAGGAGGCTTGGCATTGGTCCCCAGTAGCCCCTGTGGTCATCTTCCAGGGCAGCATCAAGCTAGAACAGTTCTCATCCTCCCTTCCTTTTTATGACCCTGGCAGGTTTGAAGGTCACTGGTTAGCTGTTGGAACATCCTGGGTTTGGATTTTCCTGCTTTCCTGAGGGTTGGAGCCAGGCTATGTGCCTCCAGAGAAGCATAGGGCGGGCCTGGCTCTGGGGCAGCTGCCGTCACTCATGGGTAGGATTTGTCTGTTGCTGATGTGTGAAGGTCAGTCACTATTCCAGTGGTGTTGGCTGGGCTCCTGTTGCAATCAGTGGACTCTCCCATGGGGTGCAGCTTCCAGAGGGGCACAGATATGACCCTGTGTCCACTTTGGTTTATTCATGTGCATTTAGGTGCCTGGTTTTCTG